TGGGTAAAATTGTTGACAGTGTACAGAGTGCTTATAAATTATCTTTCCTATTATGAAGCCAAATATAAATCAAGTCACTAAAGATAAAATTATGCATTTTGTATGAAGACATTTAAGATTATCATGGAAGTAAAATGTCAATGTTTGTTCTTGTGGGTTGTGACAGTGTGGAATTGTAGGTAGGTACCAACATTTCAGAGAAACAGATTGTACTTCACTGTGTGCCACTTGGATCGCATGCAGCACATCAAATCAATATTAAGTTTCCATTTATATATGTCTGGTGCCACAGTGCTGATGAAGTGTGTGACTTCTGTACATAAGGTGCCAATGTCAGGAATATGTGTCTGGATAACATGGTCCTTCATGTAACCTCAAAGGAAGAAGTCCAAAGGGGTAATGTCAGGTGATGACAGAGGCCATGGATTGGCCCACTTGAAAAAATATCTGCACAAGAAAACTCTTAGTCTTCATTAATACACAAAATCTGAATGTCTTGACAGGTCATCCTGTTTAACTGACATGTTTTGCACTTTGTATGCATAAAGCTTTATATATTTATGCAAAACAGTATTCATTGTTGTAGCATATAAGTTCAACTAACATGAAACATAACAGACTCTCTGATAGTTACAAAGAAGGATTCTTGCCATACGTACAGAAGTAATTTCTCTGCACTGTTATCACTAATTTTGACTCCATAGCCACATAACAAACTGATTCTTTACCTGCACAGTGATCCACGTGGGGTTGACAGAATTTTATATCTGAAGGCAGAAAATGCAGCATCCTTTTATCATTTTATCTTCAGCAGTTTGGTTGATATTAGGTTTTGTAACAGGAAAGGTAATTTAGGAAATGTATATTATAAAGCGCTAAATAATAAACTCCTTAACTTAACATGTCTTTTAAACAATTCACAGTGTATAATGAAGTATTTTGGGCAGCTGACAGTATATATATAACTATATTAAACAGGTGGTGATGATGTATAACAAACTATTTTAGAATGCTACCTCACCTGGGATGGATGCAAACTGTCCACTGGATCAAGCAGCTGCCACATGGGTTTACCTAATTTTTTCCAGTCCCACATAACTTTCTGCACAGGGTTGTCCAAGAAATGTAATGAAAATGCAGTAAATTTCTCTCTGGCAGCTATATTCCTCAACACAACTGACAGCTCTTGTGCTCGCTAGAGAAGAAATTTGTAACACATTAGCTTCAGCCTCTAAGCTCAGACAATAATTCATCACACTCAAAATTCTTCCGTTTTCAAAACGTTAAATTCACGAATTTCAACACAATGTTCTGCAACCTGTCAGGACCTGCAAGCAGTCATTAAATCAACGCCTATAAATTTATATAATTTTTATTCTTCAATTTCAACTTCAACGTAAGTTTCAACATTGTTATTTTCAGCCCACTGAAGGCAATTTATGTATCATAAATTAATTATACAATATTAAATCTTCCCTGAGGCCTGAAAATGAAACTTATAGAATCTGAAAGTTCACCCCTGTTTTCACAAAGGTCTACCAATAGACCGTTTCCTGAGCCATTTTACAACTTAACAATCTTTATGAAACATTTTCACTTTCTGTTTCAGACATATTTTTCTTAGATAAATTTTAATATTACCCTCAACCTCACACACAGTCTATTCTCATTAGATTCTCCAACAAAATACTGTATGTACATATTTTTGTGCACAAATTAGTGATGTAAATTACTAATGAAATATAGTAAATGCTGTGCATTAAACATGAAAGTCATGGAAAAAGTATTTACAGAAAACTGTAAGTAAGAATGTGGATGAAGGCACAAAATATATAAAAACATTTGATGACACAGAAGCAAAAACACAAATAACATGTTAGAAGTCACAATGGCATTTAGAATTTGACCTTTGCAAATGATGCCAATGATATAGTTGTCTGGGGAAAAGGGCATGTGTGTGGCATGCATGTCTGGTGCCTTTCTGGTTGGGTGATGGCATCATTACTGAGGATTCCTCAATATGGTTGAGCAGCAAGCTTGGGATTCGGCAACCAGTCACTTCGGCTCGCAGATGTACATGCACATATTCATGTAAAGTGTCCATTATTGTTGTTTGATTTTAACCAAAACTGGAATGTATTGACAGATTTCAGTAGAAGTCAACATCAAATTTCACAAAATCCTGTTGAGCCATTCTGGACTGTTACATGCACACAGACAGACATGACAAAGTAAACAGGTGAATTTTTGTAGGTGAGCACACGCAACAACTCAGCTGCTCACCTACTATGTACAGTCAATAGTAACATCACACTGAAGGACAGTTCACTCACACATACAATCACACGGTATCACTACTATACAGGAAACTTTGAGATGTCCCTCATAGTTGTAATACAAGAGAGCAAGTATGTATTATGTAGGCAGTGAAATGAATAACACAAGGAATACTAAAGTGGAGATCAACAAAGCAATCCAAAAATGTTCAGCATTTTATGATATGCAGGACCTAATTTGAAATGTGGGGTCCCAAGGCAATGTACATTAAAAACATAAAACATATTTTAAAACTAGTATTTTCTTCCATCATCCAACCTTTTGATGGACATGATTCCAGGAGACGATTCTTACTCCTTCTTCTCATTACAGCTGAATTTTTGTATGTCAATAGGTTTTCCATACATAAATGTAGTGTACAGGTTTCTACTGCATTAAATATTCAAATGCTACAACATTTGTCTTGATATACCTAATACTGAAAAAGTCAGTCTTACAATATAAAAAGCAAAAACAATTTTATTACTGAAGTAATAATAAAATTTTCAGCTCTTGAGGAACACAAAAGTAGCAGTCATTTTAATGCTGTCAGTAGCATCAACCAATTAATCATAATGAATGACTGTGACTTCAACTGCATAAATTTGAAAGCACAGAACTCTTTACAACTTTCTGCCTTTAACATCATATGACCAAAATCACATTTCATGTAAGTCTTTACAACAATGTTTAAAGAATGACATACTGCAAGAGTGAAGTTCTCAACAAACAAATCAAGTGTACTTCAAAACAAACCAAAATGTCTGTAGATCAAAACCAACGAAAAGTTGGGTCCTGCAGCGTTCAGACACTTGAAGAATGGGTCATCAAAGTATCAAATTAAGTAGTATGAATGAGAATATAATTTGTACACAAGAAATACAGCACCTGTGTATAAAAAGAACAAAACACACACACACATATACATATACACACACATGTAAAGTAAAGCTGTCCCACTATATGCCATGCAGGTGCTTGGGGGGAGAGGAGGTATAGCTCATAATCATTCCTGACCACGGCACTAGTAGGGGGTGTGGTCAGCATCACACTCTGGCTGCGCTTTACCCCCAGGGGAAGGACCCTGGTACCCATTACATAAGAGGCTGGGTGGGCCCTAGAACTGGTCTGGACTCAGAGGCTAGAGGAAAAATCCTCTGCCCCATCGGGGAGCCAAACCTGGTTCTCCATTCCATAGCAAGTCACTATACTGACTGAGCTATTTCGGCTCATAACATATATATATATATATATATATATATATAATGAGCATATTTATTCTTTCAAGACAATGAGAAAATAGATGCATTCCATACAGTTTAACCATGAAAACAATTTTTCTTACAACCTTAATTGCTCTATCTGTACAGTGACTAACCATAATCTGAATGCCTATGTTTTGAGACCTGGTTATTTCTTTCTTTGCTGCCACATTCAAACCATTTCAGGGGCCCACCCAACCTCTCACACAATGTGTACTTTCCTTCATGCAATGCTTAGGCAGGCAGAAATTTACAGCTTAGAGAGTACAGGCCTGACCAACAGCTCAACAGACTTAAGGTCAAGCATTAAAACTCATGCCAGTTACTATACCACGGAATTTAGCACTGAAGCAGAATGGAGCAAATGAACACAGTATGCAATGATAATATTCAAAATGTTATGACAATATTAAGATATATGACTCACCAGTGTTGCCAATTTCCTAAGAGTAACATTGCTATTCATCCAGGCAGAACATGGTCCCATCTCCATGCAGTTGAACCAGGTGTACACATCATCATAATGGATGTCACCATGGAGCTGCCCTAATGGATGAATTCTGTTTGCCATTGTTGGATAGATGAATCCCCCATCTACAAGGCCTATCAGTATCACATGGCTCCCAAATGGTAACAATCCATTCAAGACATTCAGAACATTCATTACATTCTTGTGAAGAGCAGAAGGTGATGTCATATGAGGTATAGAGTTGGAGAACCTGACCAACATTACAACACACAAATGTGAATGCTCCATAATTATCCTATGCACACATCTCCTAACTTATTTTAGTATGTATCAGCTCTTATTTACAGCCTTGTTTGATTAGCACAAGTCTCAAGCATTAAATGGTAAAACTGTTAAGAAACTTTTTATCTCATAATTACCCTCCAACATTCTTTGGCTGTTTGAGAGAAGAAAAGAAAAAAGTCTATCTCTTGAATTTTTTTCATTTGATATACATTTTTCAGTTAACGAAATCAATGCAGACCAATGCCAGTTACAGATCACAAATAAAACCTCATTCTTTTTTTATGTGTGATACTTGAAATCATAAATGGAAGATATGTGTACAAAGTATTTGTCCAAAATTTACAGGAAGAGACCACTTGGATGACCCAGACATGGTTAGCAGGATAATATTAAAATGGATCTTACATAAATAGGGGTGTGAAAGCATTGGCTCAGGATATGGGTCAGGGGCAGGTGCTTGTAAACGCAGGAATAAAGCATTTGGTTCCATAAAAAGTAGGTAATTTATTCACTACCTGAGTAACTCTTATGTTCTCAAGAAAAACTCCGCTCCACAGAGTTACTATATTCCTTAAACACTTGGGAACTTGACCACACAGTTCAACAGAAATGCCACATATGGAAAAAAACTATACCTATGCAAAATAACTCACCAAACCAGATTAAGATGAAAATAGTGCATAGTACACCTCATGGAAATCAACTGAATGGTAACACACCTCTATGAAGGGCTGTACCTCATCAAATGTAATTAAAATCTGAGGGAGTCATTTTGTGACCTGTGTTGATTTGGCATGGAATGAACCTAAAAAGTGATAATCAAAATGTACAACATAAGTGAGGAGCATGAGTACCTGTTACAGACATCATTGCCATACATTCCATACAGAACCAGGACTGGTTTATCATGAGATTTATTCCGTGCAAGGCTTTCAATGTAAGTCATTCCATCATAGCTCGAGGCACCATTTCTAGAGAGGTTCTGGTAATCTCGATGGTTGCACCTGTTTCGTGAGCGTAGCTTCAAGTATAGAGAATCTGTAACACCCTACACATAAGAATACAAAGATCACTAGCATCAAATTTCTCACATTAAACTGAAGTGAAGATGCAGGCAATATTTCTGTCTGTATAACAAGAAGTAAATTATAATGACAGTCAAAGAACTAGTTCTAATGTGGCCATTTCCTGTGCTTGTCCTCAGAAAATAAAGGTGTTCCATCAGGCAACATCATTGTATAAAAAAACACCAAGACTCAGGAAAACGAGGATATCCCAAAATTATTCAAATTTATTATGGAGAAACATCTGAAGACAGAAGGTTCAGAAAAACACAAAACATGGAAGGAAGCAGGGATTATTGTTGGCACCAAACACAGAGATGAACCAAGAGAAGGCAAAGTGTGCAGAAGACTCTGTATAATTCATACTTTTTAATCACATACAATAATAAATAAGATGACATAACTGCTATAGTACTGAAAGAATTTGAACACAGATGTAGAAAGACCTTTAAAGAGAAGGATGGCTCAACTAAATGTTTTGAAGCTAGAATATACCAAAGTAAATAAATAATGATCTTAATGATCTTAAAGGTTGCCTTATACACAAGATTTCATATTATTTTGCTCTTACCTTAATAAGCAATGGCTCTGTTGTGTTCATGAATCCAGTTGCAAAACCAAGATGAGGCCAACTCATTTCATTCAGCAGTGGTTCTGTATAATTGTGAAAAGTTTCCTGCAAATAAAAGAAACATACTATTAGTTCACGACTGTAATCTTGAGACTTGTGGGGTGAGGAAGTGGGGTGAAGGAGGAAAGATAGCGTCTGCCTTTAATGCTTCAGACTTCCTGCATTCCTGGCAAGTCTCAACATTACAGTCGCAAACAGTACGTACATCAACATGCATGCTGGTCCACTTACCTATCACCCAACACATACATCATCAGAATCAATGCATTAAAAAAAAATTAAATGTCTTTAATGGTATTAACTCCATGGCATAGAATCTTTCTTGAGCATTTGGCCATTTCTCAGCTAATAAAGACTTTTGTTAGGTTGACATCCCATCTGCACAACAATTTTTGATTACAGTTTCAATGTTTAATAAGAATCCACCACATGTTTCAACGTTAACTGGTCATCTTCAGGTGGTTCTCTTTAAGTGTTCAGAAGTAACAGATATGACTGCTAAATTGCATACGTATTTTCTACTTTTATAGTTTAGATGCGTCATGTTTGTGTTTTCAATTCATACATATATTTATTCTTCAAGTCTATACACAAACTATATTAATATTGATGTTAAAAATTAAAATTGATATAAATATTTCGCGCTATTCATCGTTTCCTCGTAATGAACTGTGTCTTATGCAACTTACCTATTTAAGTACCGTGAACTAAGTATATGCAGTTACCGGTGGAAAATTGTAGCTGATAGTAAGGTTGGGAAATCAGAAGAAATAATCCATTATCACTCACCTCAGACATAAGTAATGGGTTAATCCATGGTTCAGGGAAATGGAAATGTGCTCCAACAGAATCACCTACATAGATGATTCCTCGAGAATCAAAATTCTTACATAGTATATCTTCCCACGGTTTCCCTGTAGCAGGATCAACCCCCCAGATCCCATTACAGTTATAGTCTGCAGTTACATCCCCCATGAATGGTTGTCGGCCAGGGTAAAAGTCTGAATCCCAGTCATAGCAGTCTCGCCCACGCCAGAATGTGCCACGTGCAGCCTGCAATGATAATGATAAACCACACAGTGAGTGTGTTATGTACACCACATAACACCTTTCCTAGCAAGGCCTATACTTTAATATCCACATACTGGCTGTTGGCAAGGCAGTTGTGATTGGGGGGAGGGGGGTTGACCTTGAGAATTCTACTATGGTTAATGTATTATCAGCCTTTACTTAAGTTGTACGGTACAGACACTCATTTTGATATGTGACTAGTGACTGAGGTTAGCTCTTTCTAATGGATCCCACTGAACAGGTAAGCCCAACATTAACCAAGGATGGAAACACATTCAGTTTCTGAATTTTTTCTTCTTCAAAATACCGGACAGTGGACAAAATCCAAAAATCCAGTAATATTCAGTGTTATTAAGACTACTAATTTTGCTCAAGGACAGTGAATTAAAATCATTTAATGTTTGTTGAAGCTGCAGTTACAATATGTATACTGAATTCTTCTCAGGCTATCAGCCATGTCAGGTGGTTTAATGGAAAAACACCAACGTACGCTGAGGACAAGGACAAAGATGGTCCCCAAAAGTTGATGTTTTCTCCATTAAACCACCTCACATGGCTGGTAGTCCAAGAAGAATTCATTACACTTAGTCACTGTGAAAGCTTCTTATCATACATTACAATATGTATACATACATGAACAATACTGAACCAGTCTCCATCAACATCAAATGCTGGTCGGATCTGTGCCCATGTTCTGTTGAACATTTCACAGATTTCATGGATGGCTGGTATGCTACAAACATCAAAGTCAACATGCTGCAAGTGTTCATGGAGTTTATCTTGCTTCAAACCACTCCTTATGTACGAAGTCCACACAAGATTCTGTAAATCATTCATACATCTGAAACTGTCTGCATTTTTATTATTCATGACTAAAACCAATAACAACATTATTTGCCTCCTCTATTTTGAAAACTGTCTGAATATTAAAAATTCATATTCATATTACTAGCAACTGATGAAGACAGAGGGTGTTTGGAAACAAAGTACTAAAGTAATATATTTTAGCCTAAGATGGATGAGTGCCAAAGAAATGGAAAAAACAACAAAAGAGGAGCTTCACAATTTGTATTCCTCACATTGTATTATTATGGTGATTAAACCAGGAAGAAATAGATGAGTGGGGCATATAGGACAAACAGGGAAACAAGAAATACATACAAAATTGATGGAAAATATTGACGATAGAGGCCACTTGATATACCTAGATACAGAAAGGATAATACTAAAATGTACCAATGGGTTGCAAAATTGTGACCTACACTAAAATGATGCAGGGAGGTTCGAATGATGAGCTTCAGTAAAAGTGATGCTGAACCTTTTGGTTCTATACCAGAAGAAAATTTCTTGACCTTCTGATAACTATAAATTGTCCAAGGAACACCCTGTACCTGGCTGTGTCCATTTAAATACAAGTAGTTCATGTAGATCATTGGTGAGATTATCTTGAAATTTTAGCATGTTATTCTATAATAAAAAAAATTGAAAACCATGTTTTCCTGAAAAAATCTATTACCCAACCATGACTTAAAAAAATACAGAAATCAATGTTTTTCAAAATATAAATCATGTGGAATCATACAAAAGCAGTATCTCAACAACAGACTGAGCTACTGTCTTCATTTTTTCTCAAACAATCAAACCTTAATGCAACATTAGTGGTTGTTATAAATGTACTTTCCTTTCATCATTATGCTCACTTCAGGGCATGACATAATGTGGAAACAGTATATTCTCCTTAAATGAAACACAACCATTTCCTTGCAATGCTTTCTGTTGGTAATCCATTAAGAATTAGTGGAAACTGAACTCCATTAACAATTAGATGAGACCTCCTACTTCCTCTGCCATCAGTTCTCTAATCTCACCATTACCATCAAGAGACAGGAAACTATCAGTTGATGCAGCATCAATTTATAATAAATCAAAATTTGGTCACAACTTACAATCACCATTATTTATTTCAGGCTGATCAACCAAGACGATAAATTTTTCAAACATGATTTAAAAAGACAGCCTATACCTTCATTTTTTGAACAGTATTTCTGAAGTTTGCTTCTGGCTTTGAGAAAAGATGACAATAACTCTGGCCAGGATCCAAATAGCAGACATCAATGCCATAGCAGAACACATCAGGTGTGAAAACTGCTGAAAATTTCCTGAAAGAAATATATCTCATTCATAAATACTTGTTTTCCAATGACCCTGAGCCAGAATTTCAGACCTGCAGGCAGCAAATAAATATCTTCGTATAAAGACAGGATAACTCAAAAACTTGCCAGATCATGTTTTTACTTGCTAAAACAGCAAAAAAAGAGGCTAATTTTATGGTGTAAGAGACATAAGCCCATCAACAAACAGCCACAGAACAAGCATTCAGAACTTGCATCCCTTCCTTGCCCATACTAGCATAATAATTTGACCACTGTAGTGTGGCACAAAACTCCTGAGTGCTGTACACATGCAAGCTGATCTTATTTATAAATTTTCCAAGTACGTGGTTCATAGTTTATGTAACTACACTGTCATAGCTCAGATTATATAGTGTCTGATGAAACAATAACTAATTAATAATGAATTAGGAAGGATATGGAAGGAATTAAGCATGGCCTGATTTAAAGTACTATCCCGGCATGTATCTAGATGGATTGAGGAAAACCACAAAACCTCAGTCAGCATAGTCACTCTCCAGGACAAGATCTGAACCTGGGACTTCGCAAACCCTAAGTGTGACACAACATAGCATATCACTGAAATCTGTGTATTCCCTACAGAAAATTAATTATGGTGATGATGATCAATAGAAGACGAAGAATATGACACTGGCCATTAACAAATATCATTTATAGCTTGCTATAAGGAAGAGAAAGACACATTTTGTAATTCTGGAGCAAAAAGAGGGTACATTCAAAATAAAATTACTCTTTATGTCTTTAACAAACACAGGCAGCATCTACTCTTATGCATAGAGAAACTTCATAAAGCAAAACTTAGCTAAGTAAGTTACAATTGAGGGTTACATTCCAAGAAATTGCCAAAAAAATTATATATCTAAAAATGTATTACCTGAAACAAAACATACAAGCAACGGAAACATATTACTCATAGATTATTATACTATAATAAATATAAATAAATTTGTTAAATTTTTCATAATGTGCACAACAAAGCAGAACACAGGATGAACTTACTCATGTACTTCCCCAGTTTCAATATTGGGTGATGTTGCAGCTTTGTTTGCAATTTCATGAGCAAATGTTCAGTTTTGTTTGAATATTTTTGATGAGTTCACATTCACACTATGAGCCAAGCGGAAGGTATGTGCTTTATCACAAAAGTTTGTATGAAAAAAAATTTTACATTGTGAAACTTTGTAAAGCAAGGGCTGACTGTAAACATAAACCTTCAGACTTCAACAATAAATGTATTCATGTCAGTGAAATTAGTAACTCACGGATTTATGAGAAGAGGCTCCAAAGTTTTAATGACAGTAATGCAGTACTCTTTAACTGCAAATGGCAGCATTTCACATAGTCTCAATGAAGCAGCCAAAAAAGTTTCATTATGAATTTGTGCAAGTTGGTCCGCAATTCCCGAAACTATGGTACATGCTGGAAAGATAAACATCTGTCATATGTTAGAAGCAGGGTGTCTGCAGTGTTACTGCAGGTAAATTTGACAAATACATACATTTCTTATCAATCATTATTACCCAAAAGCTTAACATAGACCAGATAATCCAATACATATAACTGAAAATCACAGAAATAATATCATCATCCCTAAATCCAACATCTTCACCAAGAATCAAATTCAGGGTAGTTTTTCAGGGTTATGGCCTTTCTTCCTGTAATCTCCCTGCCAAAACAAACAACTCAGGTCCTGGCACCATTTTATTGTGCTTAGTTTCCAAGCTACAGAAACCATTTTCACCAGGACTTGAACACATGACACATTTTCTGGAGCTCTGGCCTTTATTTCTGTAATTTCCTCTTTGAAAAATAGGTATAAGTTCATCAGTCAGCATACAAAAAAATGTGATCAAATTTCCTTTCTGGATCTCTGATGCAATGTAAGTGATAAATTACAATTTCAAACTACATCTTTAGAACAATCATCATTCATAACTGTCATGCAACCATGGCAGGAGGTACATGCTCAAAATATATTACCTGCACAAGAGAATCCTCCATTCACCCCCCTTCCGTTCACATTCGATACCACTAGAAATGTCACGACACATTTCAGGGCGAAAATCATTGATGTGGATTAGGAAGTTCCTAAATGATTTGTAATATTCTCTTTTCCACACAATTTCATTTAACAAAACGTCGATCTAAAATGCGATTACCTTTCAAAAACGTAACGCTCGTCACGATACAGTAACTGGCATTTCACTGTAATTTCCTTGTTCCGTTGAAATCTTTATCTTGAAATTTATCAACAACTACAGACTGTTACATACCACACTCCAATAACATTTACAGCATAGATAACCTCACTTGAGCTCACATTAGTACAACTGCATCACTAGCTAATCCGAGTGCATTGTTACACCTCATGACTTTGAAAACCTAAAAGCACAATACGCAGTTTACGTTTTGCACTGCACATTGTGCAATGTTCATTATCACGATCGTCAATGACATTTGTTTTTGACATCTTAGTAATTATCTACGTCTTCTTCGATATTATCTGTGGCGGTACCGTCGTGAGCATTGATTACTACCAACATCGAGATCGGTAACTTAATGCGTATAAGTTAGCAATACAGGCTGTACATCATTGAAAATATACCTGTTTATGACGAGTCGGGGTATCTGTCAGTATATTAACTGAGTACGTAATAAACGACCCAGGCCCAATCCCCGAAAGGGGCAGAGTATTTTTACTTTAGCCTCTGCGTCCAGACCGGCTTTGGCGCCCTCCCAGCCTCCTGACCAATGGGTACCGGAGTCCTTTCATGGGGGTAAAGAGCGGCCGGGGCGTGACACTGACAACTCGCTCCCACCAAATGTCTAGCTTGAGAATGAGTAGGAACTTCGCCCTCAAGTGACTACATGGCGTGTAGCGGCATAGCTTTACTGTTTACCTATTTATGACATCTCACAGCACATACACGCACAAAAATGCGTCAATCTCTCCCAGCGATACTGAAACATTAGGCGACATCTATTGGGAACCCTACAAATGACACGCACGTACTTTATTGCTTTGTAGTAAGCCTTCCCTTCAAGGTGTCGCTAAACGTTGTGAGAAACGTGAAAGCTTAATATTGGTTTAAAAAGTATGAATCACATACAATCATTTATTTAATATCAGTTCCACTTCATTACCAGTGCTTTGTGTATTGTTGGTGTTCATTGAGGTTGCTCCAATATACAATGTTTTGCTTTGAGTTTTAGGAATTTCATTACTGAAATGGGGGCTTATGGAGGATTTAAATTGTGTGGGACAAGTGACTTACAAAACATGCTTTTGGGTGCACATAATTTGGCTTTGTGTTTGAAAATTTAATATTGATGATTTTTGTTTGTAAAAGTTTGAGACATTTGATTTATTATGATATAGTTATGTTCAGCATTGTTCATTCTCACAGGTGTATTTGATTTGTACCTCCTTTCTTCAGGTGATTATTTGTCACTGAATAAAAATATTGTTATTGATTTGAAATTCTAAGCTTTCTGGCACTGGCAAGAATTGAACTCAGAATCCTTTGAATAACAAACTTTTCTGCTGCCACTTGACCACTGTGTCCACCAAGAAGTAGCTCTTTTACACTGTAACTTATGTTTGTGTATGTGTTTGTTTATAATTGAATGGTTAATTTTTGTGCTGAAGCACAAGGAGGTATATATAATTTCCATCCAAGCATGGTTAGCTTACAGCCTGGTCTTCTGTATTTTATTTCCAGTCTTCTACTGATCATGTTATCTCCTTTGTGGATTTTTGCATTATCCCATTGTGTTTGACAGACCTCATTCTAAGTGTACTGTTTCTTCTTTTGATCTTGTGTGTTATTATGTTTGAGTTCAATGATTCAGGTTTGGACTGATATTCTAATTTTGTCTTTTTCTTCCACCAAATTCTGATTTTTTTATAATTATAAAAATATTTGAGATTTGTTTTATTTTGGTAGAACATCTGGTGTAAAAATCTCAAAGGAGGCATAATTAGGCATTTTATTGTAAAGATATGTTGAAAAAATGTGTTCAATTGATGAAAGTTAAACATAATTTAGGCATGTCTTAATTTGCAGTAATTGTTCTGGTTGCTCCTTAATGATTTAGTAAAAGTAAGCAAAATTCCGGTCAACATGAAAGATTCAATCCCAAGAGATGAATATCAGACTTGTTTAGGTACATAAAACAAAACAACAGTATATGCATGTTTTAGCCATATTATTTTAACTTTGTCAATAAAACGAATTTGTTATAAAGTTTTGTAAGTCCAACTTTATACTTGTATCCCAACTACAATTTTTATTTGTTTTCTCTATATCCCTGGAAACAAATAATAAAACTGCTCAATTATACTACCTCCATAACAACCTGAAATTTGTATTGTATATTTAATCTCAATAACTTGTTTACTCACCCAGTAAGAATAAAATTTATCCCATTGGAATGCATTATTGTAGTTTTTCTTTGGAAGCAGTGAAAATTGATGATAATAGGAGTGGTTAGGAGAGGAAGATTAAGAAAATATAATTGTCTACGAGAATTTATTTAAATGTAGTAATCTTTAAGTAGAAAATTTAAAATCGAAACATTCTATAAAAATTATAGAATTTGTTTGGTATCTGAACAACAACGCTTTTGATTTAAGTGTCTGAAGTATCTAAGACATGGAAAAGAGAAACATTTAATTTATGCATTATCCTCATCTATTTGGATGTTGGGAACATTGCTCTTGTTTTATCCTTACATTTGTTGATTCTGCAAGAATTATATACCTTTTAAAATATTCCTTCAGTTTCAGATTGAGAGATCACAATTATGCCTTCAGCGAAGCTTCAATTTCTGGGCTCACTGACACAAACAGATCCACATCTTCATCCAGTAGTTATAATTGGCCAAGTGAAAAACTTGGCAAAAATTAAATTCAGTGACATTAAAATGAAACTTGAGCCCCGAATTACTGAAGAGGTTTGTAGTCAATGCACCTGAATTAGCAATTAAAAAGCAACATGAATTTTCACAGTTTTAATTTTTATTGTTTTTATTTTATAGGTGTACCTAAATGCTCTGGCAAGTCTGCAGCCATCTCCAACAGACACTTGTTCCTTATATCTTAATTTGGCAACACTGGCAGCATTGCCTGTGAATTGCAGTCGACACAATACTCCCTCTCGTGCACATGCTATCACCAAGATTGTGAAGAGCACCACAGTTGGGGCAGATGAATCAGTTGTGGTATGATACCTGATTTTACAGTGCAACAATTTTTGAAATGGTCAAATTATAGCATATGAGCTTGGGTAACTAAAAAAGGTTTTGTCTTGAAACACAATGGTGAGACAAGGGAATTCTCTTAATATTTGTATTGACAGTGCCATTAAAGAATAGAAGGATAAAATTTACAGATTTTGTTATTGGTGGATTGTGTTGAAGTGCGCTTTATTTTAATTTCATCAAGCATTTTGTGACCTACTGAAAATAGCACATTTATTGTTGGCTGTCTTCTGGGTTGTAGCTCCATTTCATCTGGTAGAAGCTTACCATCATCACCCTGATGATGGAGGCAGTTAGGACCTCTGAAATTTTGGTAAACTCTTGCCAGACTACACAGCACTAGAACTCAGAAGACAGTCATCTTCAGACTCACCAATGTGAAAACCTCAAGTCCTTTTCACATTTATTATGCAATTAATGGAAGATCAGCATTAACAATAGAATCAGAGGCAAGAATGTGTCATCAACGTACCAGCAATGACATGTTCTGATCTGGCTTTATGGACCAGAGAGACTTGATGACCTGTTGGACAATCTTAACAACATAGACAGCAACATCCATTTTCTTATGGAGATAGAGAAAGATGGCCACCTCTTTGTCTTAGTTATTGTCTACAGGGGACTTGATGGTTTCTTGGTTCTTACAGTTTATAGGAAGGCAACAAACAGAAACCTATGTATGAATGATGAGTTGCACCATCATCCTGACATTAAATGTTCTGTGCTGTCAGTCTTGCCATGCACTACAACCAGACCAGCTTTTGCTTTTAACATGTGAATATAATGTATTCAGTTGCTAATATTCTTGCTTTCTTATCATATTTGCAGAGATCTCTTTTGTAAATGCTATTCAGTTTTTATGAATCAGTCTGCTGCTTCTTACATAGACTTTAGCACAAGGCTTGGCTGTAACTGAAGCTGTTTGGTTTCAGATTGTCTGTGAACGCCGTGATGTTCTCGCATCTGCATGTGCTGTGGCCCGAGCATACCCTCTGTTTTCACGTAAGACCTCCAGCAATCCATCTCAGACCTCAAATACAACTGTGAGGGTAGAGTTCTTGTTGGTTCCTAGTTCAGAATGTGAAGGAGCTGGGGAAAGCAATGGAAATGTAGAAGAGAAGCTGATGCTGTCTTCAGAGGATCTGCAGTGCTTGGAAAGTGCATGTACTGGTGTAAGGCTTGCTGCGAGGATCGTTGATGCACCATGCAGTGAAATGAATGTTGATCACTTCTTACAGGTACATTGAATACACCACTCAACACCTGACCCTTATCCTACAGAAATTCCCCACTTGCACAAATGAAATGAGACATTTCTATGAATGTTTATTTTTAGTTCAATATTATGAGGCTTATCCAAATGAAACCCATTCAATAGAAGCTGTTACAAACATTTCGCTTAGGCACTGTGTCAGGTATCCCATTGATGTATCAACCAATGGATCTCTACAATGTACTCCCTGGCTGTCTGCTGGAACCACTATACTACCATAGACTTGTGACCATCGCTAAGCATTTGTATGATCCACTGGATGTACCTTGTTATGTCTCAGGGGTCACATAATTTTTGAGTGCTATGACATGGTTGTGCCTCATTGTTCCCTGCTACCCTGAATGGAACTTCTGATGCCATTCCATCTCCATTGTGTTTGTGAAACATTTTCATACACAGCAACTTAACCTAGATGTATTGCTGTGTTCCACATATTACATCACTCTTGATTTAATCACTTAACAATGTTACATAAGTTAACATTGTTAAAGCTTCTAATTATGCAGTTTTCTCCATTCTCCTATTCAAAAACCTGAATGCTTATTCTTCCCACATAGAATCCACATAATACAATAGTGTTAACGTATCAAACAATGTTTTCAACTTGGTTTGCTTATCAGGAGATAAGAGACATTGCTGATACTCTGGGGGTGTCATCAACTATCATCCAAGGAGAAGACCTAAGATTGCAAGGTTTCGGGGGTATTTACGGTGTAGGAAAAGCAGCTGCTGTTGCCCCAGCTTTAGCAGTGCTGTCCTATACACCTGAAGGAGCAACTCAGACTGTTGCTTGGGTTGGAAAAGGAATTGTGTATGACACTGGAGGACTCAGCATCAAAGCTAAGGTAAGACATTTCTAGAGATATATGTGTTAACTCTACAGTTTCTTGTATTTCTTGAAGTAGGTATATGAAAATCCTATCCTTGCTGAATTTGATGTACAGACAGCAATGCCGGGGATGAAGCGGGACTGTGGTGGGGCAGCGGCTGTTCTTGGCGCGTTCTACACGGCAGTTCGGCAAGGATTCACCCAGAACTTGCATGCAGTCTTTTGCTTAGCAGAAAATGCTGTTGGTCCATATGCAACCAGACCAGATGACATCCATGTATTACACTCTGGCAGGTAAGGGGAAGTAATATGCTGAAAGCCTGCTCGCACTTGTCAATTTTCAACCATTCAGTCTAAGTACACAGGTCTAATGTTTCACTGGAAAGAGTTGAGAGTTCACACTCATAGATCACTACAAATGTCCTCAGAAAGTCAGCATGCAAAACTGCATTTTTACTGTAAAAAGGTGAAACATTTACATGATAGATGGAGGATGGGCAGAAGCCTGTCACCATTTAGTGATTGTGGGGAAAATCAAGTTTTTGTAGCCATAACCAGATAACAAACAGTTTTTCCATTGTCATTTAGCAATGCATTATTTTTATTATGTGTAAACCTTTAGGCTCTACATGAGATATCAGTGCACAGTAGGGGCAAAATACAGAAAAGAAAAAGTATACAGTTTCAAGAATTCTAAAATAACATGTATCAGAGAAAGAAGAAAGGGAAACCATTCTCCAGCACAAAATGTTATAGGAACAAAATGAAAACATTGATGATTCTGATGATGAATTTTTTTGTGCTAAAATATAAATTAATTTTTAAGGGTGTAAGACACATCATTGAAATAAATTGGATATTTAAGTTTTTGATGGAGAAATGTGGAAACAAAAACTGTTGATAGAAACAGTGACTTTCATGAAATGAGACATGATATAAGCTATAATTGCATACTTCCCCCCCCCCCCCCTATAAAATAATTCTACTTTTAGTTCAGGCACAAGGCGATGCACAAAAATATTTTGGTACAGCTTTTATTAGGATCTTGATGATTAGGGGAAGCAATGCAATGTGCAAAAGCACTGAGACATGTTTGTTGGGAGAGTCACTTGAATATGTTTACAGATACAGTTTCTGTGCTTTATCAGATTGTTGTGGGCATTAATTCTTGCAGACTGTTTCCAGTTTATGACTTATCTTTCTGATAATGTGGTCAGTGGTGAGACCTGTCTTGCTTTGCATTTTTGTGGCATTAGTTTAAAATCCCTGTAGTTATTTCACAATGTTCCAGAACTGTGGAAATCAACAACACAGATGCAGAAGGTCGTCTTGTATTGGCTGATGGAGTTTCCTATGCACAGAAAGACTTGAAGGCCAACATCATATTGGACATTGCCACACTCACAGGGGCACAGGTGAATGTTTGTTGGGGTATAATTTCAAAGACCTGTGGAGGAAATTTCTTCTCACTTAAACATGATGGATAAATGTTACATACCTCACCAGACACAATAATGTATCATGACAATTCATAGAATTCCTAATATATGCTGTAGGTTAGTTCATGATTTTATTTCAACTACTGAATTTCCCTAGTGTCAAGCAGTAGATGTTAGGATGATCCTTAATGGTAATATTGGAAGCAAAGTTGAGGAAAATAATTCTCTGGACATAAAATTTTTGCAGTGAAAATTTGTAAAATTCATTAAGTTTCTTCAGGAGAATTATACAAGGATATACTGTTTGAGTAATACAATTATTTTTCCTCAAAATATACAATCATACAGGATGGTTTCATCTTTAACCACAGTCATCTTATAGTCAGGTAAATATAGTATTAAGCTGCAATAAGTGGATTTTTAAAATCTGAATACAGACTCTTTTACTTTGAAAGACTTTGTAATTTAAATCCTTTATAGGGCATCAGCACAGGGAAATATCATGGAGCTGTTCTTACCAATAGTGAGCAGTGGGAAGAAGCAGCTGTCCTGGCAAGCAGGTTATCGGGTGACCTTCTGTTCCCTATCCCTTATTGCCCTGAGCTACAGTTCAGTGAATTTGCTTCTGCAGTTGCCGACATGAAGAACTCTGTTGCTGTGAGTAGCTTGGAATTAAAGAACAGAGTTAAGAGATAAAACAAGAGCATTAGAGAGCAGTACAAATTATGTGGTGGGGTAAGGAAAGATGTACACACACACACAGGGAGACTGAAAAATTTACATGATAACAAGTAAAATGTTTGATATTTAAGCTTCTTCTGTATAGTTAATCTCTATTGTACAATGTAAGTTTTCTCTTTTGTATAATTAATATAGATTTATTCTGTGTCCGAGTTCTCAGACATGACCTAAAAATATTTCTCCATAACAAAGTTCCTAATTTTTGACACTTTCATACTGTATTTTCAGGTATATTTACTCTGTATTTCCTTGTCATATTTCATCATCCTAGTTGCATCAGTTTATTAGTTACTACCATGAAATGGCTGAACATAGATTCCATTGAGTTACCACATTATTTTTCATATTACAAAAATATTGTCTTAAACAATTTTATAAGGTCTTTTACCATACAAAATGCCATAATATAACAGAGTGACATTAGTGTCACACATCATAGGTCTTTATGACTGTCCATATTGGTATTATAATGGTAGGGAATTAAAACTGTAATAAGGTGGGTTAACTTTCACTAGTATGATGTCCTTACAAAGGTATGTAAAAATCTATCAGAAATTGTTTTTCTTTACAATTCTCGTTAGTTCTTGTCAGTCACTTTCACACACTAAACAGTTGATAGTTTATTCTTGTGAACTACATGTTGCAGCCAAATATGGCCACCATCAGTTTCAAATACACATTCAAAGTCATTGCATTAGGACAGTTGCTTATTAATTCTCCCAGTGTTGTTTCAGATAATGATAAAATTGTAGATTAAAACTAGTAAAGATCATTTTCTTTTAAAATTAGTTAAAACAATTAAGAAGTTGTCATCATAATTTGATGAGTCCAGGTGTGTTTGTATTCTGAGCTGTTTGTCTTGTAGTGCATCATTGTAGAATGTGCTTGAAGGAAGATCCTACATACTTGGTTAATAGTACTGATATTTTTTTTCTGGATAGGACCGAAGTAATGCTCAGTCATCTTGTGCTGGCCTGTTCATTGGATCACACTTGGGATTTGATTTCCAAGGCATTTGGATTCACGTGGATATGGCCTTTCCTGCTTATATTGTGAGTATGTTATGGTATTATGTGTGACAGCTTTTGAATTTGTGCTGAAATTATAATGACAGTAATGTATCATCTTCTTATTTGTAGGGAGAGCGTGCTACAGGGTTTGGAGTTGCACTATTGGCCACACTGTTCGGGAAATATTCTCAAGACCGACTCCTGCGAAGTCTTGGTCCAGAACTGAAATGCAGTGGATCAGAAATTCAAAATGCTTGTAAGAAAATTAAGCGAAATTGACAAAGGAATTCCTTTCAATAACTCTTTCAGTTGATAGAATGCTTACATAGTTGAATGAGAAGGTGGGTACATGAGAATTTTAAATTAATTAGGTACTTTGGGGTTCAGAGGTGGTACAAAAATAGCAGAGGAACTTTCATCTTCATGGAAAAGTGAACAGACATTAAAGCTGTGGTAATCAGAAAATATTTTACCTTTGATATTCATGAAATGAAGATACTAGTAACAGTTTTGGATTCCATTGACAGGTTAGTTGCAAGCGTTTCTTTTTGGAACTGAATGCCAGTTCTCATGCTTGGGGTGAAAGAAAGGTTACCCAGTTTGGTAGCAGTTACGCCTTTCTGGTGCCAAATAAGAAGGCTCTAGAAGAATTACCAGATTTTTGTAGAATGTGTTGATTTTTTATTTTTACATATACTGTTTGTGTGTTTATATATATGAAATACATGCAGTAGGAAACCAGGGTGTAAGCCAAACTCAGCAGAATGTTACCAGCATTCTTAAACACTCATGGACACAGATGGCATTGTTTAATATAAATTTGTTTGGAAATATTATATATAAATTTGAATTAAACCATTTGCATTTCAAAGTGCAAATTAGGCAAGTTCTTATGAACCTCCAGAGTGACACACACAGACACAGAACTCTTCATTAACAGCTTGGAAATTTCTGCAGTACTTTGTAAACTGTTGTAAATCAAATTCTCCATAGTGCATAAGTATAAGGCAGTATCATGTAGCTCTGCTTACCAATCCTGAGTTAAGGAACTGAGATTTGGTCACAGTAATTACAAAGGACTTGCTCTAGATATTACTCATTTTCAGTTAAAAACTAGCAACTGTACATGTGAAGAGTCCAATATGGCTGATAATTTTCATTAAGTTTAATAATATTGCTGTTCCTTGCTAAATTTTATTAACCCTTCAAGCTGGTAGCTGATAGTGAGAAGGCTCCTTTATCAAAGGTATCCAAAGTACTTACTGGCCATTTGCAGATACCAAGACAGAACATCATTGAACCACAAGACCTTGAAACATTGTACTTCCCATTTCTTCTATCTGTTTGTTCATACATGTGACTGCACACAAGTCATTTCTTTTGTTTCTTCTGATGTCAACACTGTATCAACCAGTAAGCAACATGACACATACTAGCCTTTCATGCAGTCAAAATTTCTAATAAAAAAAAAGATGTTTCACAGGAACCTGATAACAGAAACATTAGAATTTTTATAGTGGGAGTAAATAAGATACTGATGAAGATGATGAGTGTTGTGGTTGAAAAACCATCAGATAATGAGGAAAGTGAAGCTGATATTGCAAGTGATGCAGAAGATAAGTTAATGAGCAATTTGCTGTTGAAACAACCATGATTGGAGAATGATTAGAAATGGGAAAAATTTCACAATTCATATGTCACAAATTTCTTACTGAGGCCATTTAAACATTGTTAACTTAGTGGATGTTTAAATACCAACTTGAAGGGTAAAATGAACACTGTGCTTCCAGAACCTAAAGGTTTAGCAGCATGAATATCAGAGCCTGTCATTGGGCATAATAACAAAAACAATTTGAGAAACAGTTTTAGAAAGTAGATAGGAGGATACCAATTTTTAAACTAAATAGCAATTTTTACTTTTAACTTTCAGCAATACTGGACTAGCACTTCTTACAAAACTCCAAATTTGAACTCAAAGTATTCACATTATATTTATAGTTGTGGATTCTTAATAAAATTCAACAACAAAATTATTCTGTAGTCCCATATTATTTGTGGGTCAAAATTAATTTTAAGATTATCTCATCTAATATTTACTGGATCAAAAAATTTCAAGTAAATGTGTGTATGAGCACCTCTTCAAATATGTCAGCAGTATGGAAATTTCCCAATAATTTGCACATACAAAGGGCTTTATTCATTGACCTTTATAGCTTAGTGTTCATGCCCTCAGTTTTCATGTACTGATACTGCTTCTTATGCTCACTTTTAAAGCCTTATTCTAAAAAGAGTAGTGCCATAGGTAGAAGATAAATATTGGGACATAGCCCAAACTCATGCAAATTAAAAAGTTCTAAAACTATACTTAAAACTGTTGAAATGCATGTAAGTGTGGTTGAATAATAACAATTATTGGGTTAATAGTTTACATTTGTTTGCTAATACTTTTATTTACCATTTTTAAACATGCCTGGAAATAGTTTTTCCACTTTGGCCACTAGATCACAGCACCACAGTGTCTACCTCATGACTTTCCTCATCATAATTTTATCTCCATTCCTAGGATACTCAAGGGTACAATTTTGAGGTCAAGCAGAACAGCACAACCTCCACTTCAAATTTCATCCAGATGTATCCAATAGTTCTTGAGTTGAATTGACTGGACGGACACGACCAGCCCATAATGTGTTCTTGCTATGCACTTTGTGCAAAGAATGGCTAATACTTCAAGCTGTATCTGTATTACCTGTTGCATGCTATTGTATTATCAGTAGATGCTTGGATATTTTATGTTGTGAAGCAGTGAACATCTGCAGTATGGTCAGAGAATCTGAAATCCTGAAAAATGTGTGAACTAGGAGATTCCACTTCCTCCCCCTGTTCATAGGAAAAATCTCTTCCCCTTCTGCCAAGTCACATTTTCTCACTTCTGCTGCCAGTCACTTTTCAGTCTCACTGTTGTAAAAAGTAACATGATTAAGTGATACACAGAAGATGATGTAACAACATCCCAAACACAGTGGAGAAAGGAATGATACAATGTAACAGTAAACACATTAATTTTTCTGTGCATAGTAAAACCATCATAAGATCCAGTGTGAGTACAATCTGGTAACTCAGCTTACCCTAACAGTACTGGCTGTGAAATTGTAACACTGACCCTTGCCATGGTTTTAGATACATTGGTCCTCTAGTTATCTTACATTTTATATGTATTTGGGAGCACCTCACTCATCCAGGTGGAGGACCTACAAAAGACAATGAGAGCTACTAACTAGTTAATTCTGGGAGTAGAACTGGAATGTCTAGCACTGCTAATGCATTCCATTAATGGACCCATTATCCACAACTTTAATTTTAATGATCCTCTAATTTCATCTGTACACATTTCTTATTTTTCTCATTTCAGTTATGTCTCTGGCCTTGCATAATCTCCTGGATTTCTCAGTAAATGCCTTCCAAATGCCTCATAATTCATTAAATCTTTAGCACTGATTTGTGTAAGGTTAGTAGCAGAAGTATGGAAGTGCATCATACATGAATACGTAAAGCACACACAATATCAATTCTATAATGAAAACTGAAACCTTTACTATAGCTTACGAATATATTCTTTGGAAACCCTCTTTTACAATTGGGTTGCCCAAAATAAAAGATAAATTTGTAGTAGTATTACTCATGCGGAAATTTTTAAATGTCACTTGATGATGTCCAGCAAGGAGTGACATTCATTAATCTATAAGGAAAGTGACAACATATCAGATAATGTTGATAAAGATATAACCAGAATATAAGTTTATCTCTGCCAGAATATGTTTTATGGTATATATAACTTACTAATGATACAATCAATGTGCTGTTGAAACTGCTGGAGTCCAAGACTGCTGCTTCGGTCACTTGCTAATCACACAGTAACCTCCAACTATTAATAAACACATAAATGAAAGAGTAAATGTTGAACACTTGTCACATGTGGCATGGTGCAGTACTGTATGTATGTCTGTATACACTGAACTTCAATACTTTTTTGTACAATGTTACAAGTTCATGCATATGTGTCTAACATACAGAAGTCATTCCATTTCTAATGATCATGGAAAATGATGCAAAAAAAGTTTCATTCATACTCATTTCCTCTTATTGACTAACCAGTCTGCCAACACCCTAATAACAATCATGAACATTGCTGTGGTAAACTCAAGGTAAAAGGACAACAACCTTCAAATTGTCATGTCAAGGCATCAAGAGTACACCTAACTAACTAGATGGCTTACGCAACCCAAAGGTTCATCACTGAATTAACTAAAAAGCCTGCCACGGGTCCCTGTCCTGGGCCAGCAAAATCCAATCACCTTCAACTCCCATAGATCCCGCCTGATATTTTCCTCCCATCTATGTGTAGATCTCCCCCAGCAGTCCCCTCCCTCAGGCTTCCCAATCAATACCCAGTGCACACCTCTTGTCCCATCCATGCATGCTACATGCCCTGCCCATCTCATTCTTCTTGACTTAATCACCCTGACGGGAGGAATATAAATTTTTAAGCTCATCATTATGCAGTTTTCTCCAGACCCCATTGTCTTCTCTCATGGGCCCAAATATCCTCCTCAACACCCTATTCTCAAACACCTGCAATCTATGTTCCTCCCTGAGAGTAAGGGACCATGTTTTGCACCCATACAAAACAACACTCAAGAATATACCTAGCTATATAAATGATCTAAAAATAATCCAGAACAGATATGAGCTTTAAACAGATCTGTTGTTGATATTTGCATGGTTTGACAAAAAATATGTACGTATTTGCAGTTACTGATACTGTAGACACATTGGCACAACATAAGAAGTAAGGTTAATTGATGAAATACAATCCAAACTTGATACAGGTATTGAAATCTTGCAAGGCTGATGAAAGAGAAAAACTAAAGATAATATCTAACTAATGTAATTATTTGCAAATTTTTTAAAATGCTACATTTCTGCACAAACTGCATGATGAGTGAGTTTCTATCTTAATAAAGAAATTAGCAGGTAAGGGTGAATCATCAAACCACTCTGGTCCCATAGGGCTCTAGGAAGAACCCACAATTACATAAGATAACATGTGCAACAAAATTATTCTTCAAAGGACCAAATTCTCCCTCAACTATTAAAGGTAAATAATCATTTATGCTTGCTTAAAGAACACCATAAAACATTTTGTGATCAATCCATGGCAGCTGTGTTACAGAACTTGTCACAAATCTTGAGTGAGCTGAAACACAAGTCTGCCCTGTTGACTCAAATTCTGAGAGTTGCAACCAATCTTTTATGCAGCTCATACCAAAGCCCCCAAAATTTGATTTCAGTTTACAGTTCAGACAATGCAGCATTCTCCACAAATTAACAACAGATACTGGTTTCATACTACTTGCTATTAGAAGTTTCAACCCACCCAAAGAAGGGACAACTCTCCCATGAGGTATTCCCACACATGAGTAGCATTTCTTACCATCACATTTCAAGCCAGGCCTGCAAGTCAGCCGAATATGAATTTTAAACTCAAATTATTTGCTATTGGAGCATATAGCAAATTTACTAGATTCTTGTCCTGAAGATGATATTGCAGCAACATTCAGATTTAACAGTTACCTGTAGTGTAGAATATGATGGTTGGATGACCATTCCAAACAATACTTTGGTACTGTATGCAACTGCAGCACAGTGCAAAAATATGTTTCTGAATTGTAGTGCTTGGAGAGCAGTAAAGGCATCATGGGTTATTAATAATGCATACCTACATCTAATATCTTAGGAAATTGCAACATAACCACACAATAATTTAATATTAACAAGTGTAACAAATTCTATGATTGTAACAGTACCTTACATTAGGCCATGATTACTTCCCTCCAAGTCTCTTAAAATTCATTATTCAACAATCATCCCAACATTTGATGTTATATAATCTGAGCAACTGACACCATTGTTAAATAAACCCTAAATAAATACGTACATTGATGTACCCCTATAACAGGGAAGAGAATTCATATTACTTCACCACGATGTAAAACCTTTTAGCAATTTTGAATGTTCCAAGACAAATCCAAGTTCCTCACTGCAGTATTCACCTGTGAAGTGGAGTCTCGGTGAACTAAAGGAAAACTGGGTAAGGTAAGGAGTCATATCTTTATGTGGTAATTAAGTTGGGTATACTTTAGCAAGACTTGTAAAATATAACTTTCTGCTATCTAGCATCATTACTCAGAACTTTTAGTCCTCAGTGAATGCAAGCAGACAGACATAAAACTGGGTTCTTATAATAAGTTTCCAGTTTAAAATGTTGATTAAACCATTGGCGTCTAACACTGAGCTACATTAATAGGCAGCCATAGTATTCGTAGAACTGCACTATGGCCAGAGTTCATGTTTTCATTACACCTTCCTGTGTGCTATTTGCTCTGACTGCAATTTAAATAGTAATCCCAGGCCAAACTGCAGACCATTGATAGCAGACTCTAATGGGCTAAGAATTACAAATACAAATTCTTATAAATTTTAATGTATATATTCCTTACAAACAGGTTTATAGTTTGTTGTAGATTTTTGAAGTTTACTTATTAATGAAAACATTTCCTTTCCAAAGAGTAAAATTAAGCTATGGTTGCTGCTACATTGATTCTTGCATAACAAATTAAGTTACAAACAGAAACAAGATCGATATAAATAAAATGTTTATGTCCTCACTTATGATCATCTTATTTGCAAATCTATTGTGATATTTAAAGCAGCAATAACTCTCCATAGTAATTACATCTTCCTCTCTTCAAACTGTAATCCAGCACTCTATAAAATAAACCAAATGTTATGGTGAGATTTCGTTCTTACAGCAGCAATTATGAAGATGACTGTCTTCTGGAACAATGCACCATGTAGTCTGACAGAAATGTACTGACGTTTCAGAGGTGCTTGCTGCCATCTCATTGCCCAAATAATGTAGGAAACAAGCACCTCTGAAATGTCAGTACACTTCTGTCAGAATAATGGTACAACGTAAGATTTGAGGTTTTCACAGCGGTGAGTATGAAGATTTCCGTCTTCTGGGTTGTTGCGCTGTGTAGTCTGGTCGATGTTAACATCGACCAGACTACACAGCGCAACAACCCAGAAGACGGAAATCTTAATGGTACAATGTCCCAGAAGACAGTTGCCTTCAGCTATATGTTATGTTGGAAGAATTAAAATATTGAAATTGTTGTATGACATGTTTCTCTTAATTTACACTTAAATATTACAAGACTAGTGCCTCCAGTTTAATACTTACGAAGACTACAAAATATTTCTGTCATAAACGTACACAAGTTTGTGATCATTATTGGCAATTTGATTCACTGATACAAAAATTCTGAAGTGTTCCATCACTTGTCTTGTCACATACTAGGCCTACTGGACCTGCTAAGCATCACGCATGCCAGTACCATAGTTAGCTCCGCCAGCACGCAGAAGTTGCTCACGGAAGTGATCAATTTCAAACTCATTTTTGTTTTCCAGTTGTAGCTCCACAGCAAAATTCTGTGACAGAAAACAAACAACAAAAACTAGACAAAAATATGTAAACTAATATTATTACAGATACAAGGAAGGGAGGGGAAGACCATGTAGTGACGGCACATACGGACAGACAACCCAGTCCTTCCTTGTATACTGTCAGGTGTTATGCCATCTTGCTCCTACTGCTCCTTTCATATGTCCTTCCCCTTTTTAAGCGATGTAGCTGAAGCTCAGGGTTATTATGCGTACATTGTTTTGGGGGACCTGTGACTAAAAATCTTACACCTGAACACAACAGTGTATGAAGAAGTAATGAACAGAAGAATAAAAAATGTAAATCTGAGAGGAATCCATTAGGACAACAGCAATGATGAACATGGAGTGGATGGAACCAAACTGCAGGCTGTGACATTCAGTTACAAGATTTGTAGTACAAAACCTTCATCATAGAACATAAAACAAATACCAGCATGTCCTGGATGATGACCCCACACCCCCACCAAAAATTATATTATGGTCTTGTGGTAGTGTGCTTGCCATGGACCCAAGGTTCACAGGTTCCACCCCTAGATAAGGTCGATGGATTTTTAAGGGTGATAAAAATCCATAGCAAGTCTTCCTTCAGAAGGAAAGTAAAGCTGACGGTGCCACGTCACAGATTTACGGCATGTAAAAGAACCTTATGACTCTGAAAGAAATGTTCTGTAAGCAAAATTCAGTGGCCGTTGTCACCCATGTCTCTTCTGGTTCGCTACTAGAGGGCTCTAGCAGACAAATCAGGAATGAGTAGAAATTATATGGAAACAGCAGTCTTGTCACCTGCTACTCTGAGGCACTAGAAGATTAATATGACAAGTTGCCTTGAACAACAGGCCATGGGCCCAGTCCTTGAAGGATGATAAGAATTTCTCTATATGACTTGGGATGGCCCGTGACCATACAGCCAGTCTTTACTAGTGTTTAATAGATTTCCCTTCTGAAAGGAAGAAATGTAGTGTTAACTATCTGAACAGTGTAACTACAATATATACAAAATGTAATGTTTTCTGAATACAAATGGGCCAGTCTTCACATCAGCAAACAAAGTGTCTGTCATTGTGCATTTCTCTGGTGAATATTCTTTTAAAACATTTCACTGCTGAAAAGTTCCAGAACCGCATTTTGTAAAGTGTTACCTTAGACTACTGCTCAGAGAAATAATATTTAAAGAAATTCAGAGTGTAAGAATACATACAATGTACTATATCTCTGTAGCTCGTATATTACGCTTTCCTGATCACACTTCTGCTTGTGAGGTACACTTACCATGATAATCTCTTTGACCATGGCCTTGTCTGTGCTCATCTTGGCCCTTTTGATGACTCCCACTGATGGTCCCACCCAGGTCAAAAACAGAAATTTTTGTCGCTTACTCATTTCATCACCCATCTGTTTGAAAACAATTAAATTTTCAGTCAGATAACTGTAAGCACAGACAATATTCCTTAAATAAAAATTCATAAACAAATTCTGAAAATTTCTCTAAGCCTGGTTGGAAAAGTGGAACAGTTGGGGCCAGTTTTAGACATTTCAGGGTTCTGAGCTATACCATAGCTGATAAGGCAAAACTTTAATAGGAAGAATAATGAAAATAAAAATATTAAAATTTTACAAGCTCGTTGAATTTCAGGGATGATTGTTTACTACTCCTGCTTCACACTTAGGAAGTCCTGATCTCAAATCGCGGCTAGAGGACAGCCATCCTGACAGGTTTTTCATCCAAACAGATTCTGTGGCTTTTGTGCTGTTACTTGCAGACGTATCTAATGTCTTGTAAGACTGCATCCTGTTACAGTTCTTTTTAGAACTACAACGTATTTTTCATCATAGAATTGTGTGATGACTGTTCAAAAATATGTTGTAAATCTTAGGTTATGGTTTTTTGAGTTTCATAACTTAGGATTATCAGTAAGCAGAGAAGAAGCATCTAGGAAGTTGAATGGACACGTACGTATGATATCACCATTCAATTTAAGCCACAAATTGTTTGTATTAAGTAAGAACATGTGGAAAAATATACATTGCATACATACATACATACGCTACTTGAAAAATCATTTAAACAGAGATAGTTGTCAACATTAATACTGTAAATCATATTTCAATTCAGGCTACAGTATAACAAATGTACAAAAGGGAATTTGACATGCAAGTGTTCAGAACCTCCCACTAACCAATGATTAGCTAATTTCTTCTTTTGGCAAATTCTTTCTCCAATACAACAAATGAAAATAATCTGTATATTCTACAGCTGAGAAAGTTATAAAATTTGGCAGTATAGCCCCTTTCTTTTACAGAATAAAATTTATAAAAAAACATGAAATTCAGATATCCACACCATGACTTCTGGATCGAGTCAGCTTGGAAGAATTCATGCCCCTTATCAAAAGTTGAAAAAAAAAGGCATCCCAAACATAATAAGCAACACAACTCATTTCTACCACAATCAGAAACAGAGTTTGTATCTATGTAGAAGACCATATAGATTACAATCACAATTCTGGGATGTGCTTCAACCAAAAATTGATCAATACCTGCCCTCTACTCCTCCGAGAAACATTTTACCTGAAGTCTGATGTACCCAAAAGCTCTTTCATCATCAGCAAACTGTTCACGGAATTTCTCAAATTGTGTACCCTTGGCTGAGCAGAAGATGTGCGTGTCTTCAAACTTGAATACAGCCCTGAAACAATCACAGCTTTGATTTAAAGTTGTACTCACATGTTAGTAAACTCTACAAAAACAAAACTAGTTCACCATACTTATCACTGTCTTGCATACACGTTTAAATAAAACCATTTGCTGAAGTGAATTAAATAACAAATTTGTAAGAGAATACGGAACAATACTAGACACTTTTTGTTTAACTGCGATGACAAGTGTTTTTCCATTCGTCAGGATCTGAGCAGCTTCTGACTTTCGAACGTAAGAGGTGCGAGTATAACAAGGGATATTGTTTTAGTAAGTTGACCATTATGTACCTATTCACCACGCCACAAAAGGGAGAAGATGAAAGCTACATGCTGTCTTACTTAGACATAGGTATCTGGTCAGTCCCACCGGCGATCACCCTGAAGATGGAGGCAGCAAGGACCTCTGAAACGTCGGTAAACTTATACCAGACTACGCGGCGCAACGACCCAGAAGACAGCCATCTTCAGACTCAACGCCGTGAAAAACTCAAATCCTACAATACGTTTATTGTTTTAGTATTACAGATCTCTATTGTTTTGGACAGATACTGTGATTGGAAAAATTTAGGTACCGTGCTAGAAAAAAACACACAAAAGCAAAGGTCATGTAGAAATAATGTCAAAATGGCTTTAATTGGAGCAACTACTTGTGGAAGGAAAAGCCACAGATTATGAGAACTAACCACGTATTCAGCAATACATACTAGCAGGATTTTCTGGAAAGCTGATAAGCATTACGCAACTCCGTTCTTAGAGAACACAGGAAACATTTTTCTTATGTTCAGCTCAAATTAATGAAATTTTATAGATTTGGTAAAACTTTTACAGAAATATTCCCCAATACTGCGAGAACATTTTCGTAGCACACACGAAACTGAAATTCTAGACCATTATTTAAGTCATGAAATACAGAATGAACTAACATTATTATTAATATCATCATCATCCTAGCATCTTCACATGGGTCTAACATTCGAACTCATGGATACTACATGCCCAACCCATCCCACCGCCCTGGAAAGTTCCTCATTATGTAAGTGTCTCCATTTTCCTGTTGCTTCCTGTCCCTCAGGACCACCCTGTTCTCAGACACCATAACCCATTCTGATGATTTCGAGCATGCGCGTATGAGGCAGAAATGGAAAAGTGGTCTACATCCGCAGTGTGCAAGATGCAATTCACCACATCGCAGTATCTCACCATTCTGTATCGGAGTTATCAGAACGGACGTCCTCATAAGCTGCTGTGATCTTATCTCGGTCTATGCTTGTTGTCATGGCAGCCTGGAACAAACAAACACAAACTTAAGCAATGAATAAATACTGCAGTAATGATAATGACGAGGAAATCCAAGAGATTTCGCAGTGTCAAACAATAAAACTGAACGTTCCGCTCTTACACTGCGTCCAACCTAACCTTTCCGGTGGGTGACGTCATTTGTGGAAATAAGGAAAGGGAAGAAGTCGTGTGATGGGGTGAGTGAGTCATTCATTCCGCTACATTCTTGATTCTTGATAAAATGGACAAAACGAAATGCCGGGTAACCGAAGGTCGGAAAATCGTGACTCGACTGTATAAGATAACGGCCATCCTTACCAGTCTATGCGCTTACACTGCGCTGGGCCGTGTGACTTGCCCGCATAAACCACGATTGAAAGTGTCCTCGAATCGAGGGTTTTCAGTCCCTCCATGACAGGCTGGGACATTCAACCTGACCGCGACAGAAAATTCTCCTATGATTTGATTTTCATACTCGTCCCTAAGTTCTTGTTCGATGCTATATAACTTTATTTATTTATTTATTTATTTAGTGTTCTGTCTGACGACAGGTCCATATGAACAGGATCCTCCCATCCTTTTCTCGGACTGGGACCTGTTCATATACGTTCTTGGCAGATGATCCAGAAGTGGTTTGCCATTGCCTTCTTCTGTGTGTGAATGGAGTAATTGTTGGGATGCCACGGAGGAAAACTCCGTGTTGCCTAGACCACGGCCTTGCCCAACACAAGTTATAAATTCGGGCACCGCCGGGAATCGAACCCGAGACCCCAGGATTACAAGGCCAACGTTCTAACCGCTAGACCACCGTGGCAATTCTATATAACTTGTGAAGTTTAAATAGCGTCATTAAATAACTTTTAAAACAAACATTCCTTTTATGAAGTGTTTGTAACACGGCAATGCATATTAGAAAATCTTCAAGATGTTACGGAACGTATTTCATGGCACAAGCTAGACGTACGAAATAAAACAATGTCATATGAGGAACTGATAAACGTATGTTACATAACACAGTTAATTTCGTTAATGGTTGCAATTTTATATTCAAGATTTGTATCGAACAATGGCGGACTCTTGTAAGAATGACATCTTAACTTCGCATTGTGTAACAGGCGGGGTATATCTTCGCCAATTGAGCTAGCCTACTAGTAGCTTATCAAGGACTTCGCTATATATATTCTACTAAGTTGTTTGTCCTATGCAGGGTAAAATGTGTGACGACCTTCTTGTAAATTTCTAGTCTATTTTGACCAAATTTATTCGGTTAATTTCCGTAAGAGCTTTAAATATCAATTGCATCAAAGGATTAATACGCCATTACAACGAAGACTGTGTTCACACGTGACGAACCGTGTCACGTGGTTCAAGGAACAACAGACGCTTCTGGGTATGCCATTAGCCGTCATTATCTTCATCACTTTAATTATCATTATCTCTCTCCGTTAATTCGAAAGCAAATAGTAGTCCCTTAAGCCGCCAACTTTCACATTAATTCAACTAAATCGTGACGAATTGTTCAACCAACAAAACTTGTGAGAAATAAATGTCTGCGATTTCTAATTGATACAGATGCTTGATGTAATGAAAATTATTTGGGTTATGAATGGAAATTGGGGGGGGGGCGTAGGGGCTTCTGTGCCTCTCGGGATACCAGGCGTGTAAGGTGAGTGACTCATCGCCCTGATGATGGAGGCAGCAAGGACCTCTAAAACTTCGATAAACTTCTACCATACTATACGACACAACAACCCAGAAGACATTCATCTTCTATTAAAACATTATTTAAAATTCACTTAAACTCAATTTTAGTTTCACACTTTGCTGAAAGTTTACGGGTTATTACGTGTTCTTCGCGCTCTGGCTGTCCGTGTGTGTTCCCTTTCTCTAAACACAAGGACCAAAGTATCCTTGTTGGGGCCAATTTATGCGCAACAATTCTTCGTGAAAACAGCAATAGATCCAAATAGTCATTTCATGACAAATAGCGTGGTCTTCAGTGTCGACATACATAATATTTTTCCCGCAACTGCACAGCCTCAAACAGACCAATCAAATGGAGTCTCCGCAAACATTAGAGTGATTATCGAAATAGTTTTTTAAACGCGTTACATACTTCAATAAACTGCCTGTAAAATTATAATGTGGATTATTCAGACGTAATTGCTTTTTTTGTGCAAACTATGTTACTATATGGCGAAAACGGCAAGTAATTTCCAGCTTTAATAAGTGTAAACTATGTTACTACATGGCGAGAACGGCAAGTAATTTCCAGCTTTAATAATATATTTCTTCTTGAAGTTAAATGATCTGCCCAGCAAATATCGTGTCCTTTCTGCAGACACAGGATTTAACAAAACTCTGACTTTTCTTTCAAGTCAACACATTTCAGATAAGTTACCATTCTCTCATCTTCCACAGTCGTCGTCGAATTTCTACGTGAAGGAATATTATATAAAAGCATACAACTTCAGTTCAGATGATACTTCATTTTACAGACAGTCTTAAGGGTACATTAAAATAGGTAAGAAAATTAGATAAATATTTCAGTTATTAAGAAAGTCTTTAGAATGAAATAATAATTTAAACAGATGCATAGGCCCAGCTGTGATCTCTTCCTTTTCAATTTTTTTCGTAGACTTATAATGAACAATAAGGCAAGCTCTGGCTAGTTCTCACAGCAAACAGCGACGAGGAATACGCTGCTACATTATCAAATATATCAAAAAGTCTAAGCATCAGCTCTCATGATGGAGGCAGTGTTTTCCTCTGAAATTTTGACACCCAGCTAGAATATCACATGACGTAACAACACAAAAGATGATGAACTGGCCTGCCCCTACCGGGAATCGAACCCCTGTCTCGTTCAACTCTTTGCCCCCGATTAACACGCTGTACTACCCCTGGCTCAAAAGTTCAGTACAATTTCAATCCCACTTCAAACTCATCAAGTATCCATGCAAATTCCAGCCAAGATTTTTCCAATTCACCCAAGTATTGTCCGGTTAAAATATCGAAAGGAGACCAGTCAGAAACTGTTCTAGTCAACTGACCATGCACTACATGGAGCTGCAGCTTTCACGATGATAGAATTACGTGAGGCAAGATTACATCACCAAAGTTAGGGTCTTAGTGTTCTTAGATTGTTTCACGCTGTAATTTCTCGTCGTTTCGTCAAATGACACTGCAATATAAACTAATATTTACTACTATCTGAGCACGTGACCAGTCAGCGTTGGCGGAAATAAAACTTCTGTTGAACAGTGACATAATTTACTACGACATTACATTTTCTTCCTTTCTGCAAGCGCCAGACTCCGCTGTTGAAAGAAATCGCCCCCCTTTCTTGCGGAATCCAGAGTTCCATTACCGTAATCCACTTCACAAACTTTTTTTTTATCCGATCCCTGATAAACGATGCAGTGGTTATCACTTTATTCGCATCCGGGAGGTCCCAGGTTTATCAACCGGGAAACTGTCTTCCTTCCTTCCTCAATCCTTCTGATTCACTATGAATCATTCGACGATTGAACGCGATATGATGAATGCAGTTAAGAAAGCGTTGTTAATTATAGCTGTTAATTTACATGCACGCATCGCATATAAGAGCATAACGGTGCAAGGTCGTATTGATGCAGGGCAGGTAGGAATCCTATCAGACAGCTTCATGATTCGGTCTTTGAACCCGGATCCAGTATGCATCAATAATCGTGGTGAACTAGGTCTGGCTGGAACCGTATAACAAGTTCCACTCAAAGAAAAAAAAAAGTGGTTTCGGTAAGGTACGTCATAACGAAGCAGCTCTGGTCTGTCGGAGACTGGATGCTCAAGGACACGTGGCGAGGCAAATGACACGAGATGCTCATTCGAAGAAACACGGCAATGACGGAGTGTTAGGTGTGCGGACTGATCGACAAAGTTCCCGAAGAACATACCGCCTCTTATTTCATGGTAGAAAAGAAAGGTTATTCTGCGTCCATGTACAAACCAATTTAAATAAATTTAAATAAAAAAGTTTGTTGTCCCGTCTAATTCGTAAAATTTCCAGTTCCTTGCAAACTATACGAAGCTTTAACGGCGACTAAGTATAGTGAATTCTTCTCGGGCTACAAGCCGTGTAAGGTGGTTTAATGGACAAACCACCAACGTTTCGAGAACCATCTTCGTCCTCGTCCTCAGGGAACTGAAACTGAATTCATTAAACTACACGAACATCGTCTTGAGGATGGAGGCAGCAAGCACCTCTGTAATGTCCACATTTCTACAAGATTACACGGCGCAACAACCCGGAAGACAGTCATCAACTACACAAACGACATCATTCTCCTCGCTTTGTTCCCATTTATAAACTCCGGAGACACGTTAAATCCTATCATTAATTCTCAAAACTAACATTTTTATTAAAATACCCTCTTACAGCATAAATATTATTCTAATTTCGAGTAGCATTAGGTTCAAATTTTCAAACGCATTGAAAGCCCACCTAAATTTCCATGACAAAGGAGCGTATGTATGCAGTTCTCGTCTACGTATATTAAGCGTGCAAATTATCCACATCCCGAAGTAACCATGGCCTCAGGTGTGAGGAACGCGAGGCCCTGGGACTTTGCCCACCCCTTCACAGTCACTGGTGTGAACCGTTAATTAGCATCGTCTCTTCAAAATGTTATAAGTTTCAAATGCCAACGGATAATTCGACACAGGACTCTATTCACAGAGGAGTTTTACCAATTCAAGCTTTCATCCTGGGATTTAGACAAGGACTAATAATAAATTCTTTGATGGAAAGGCAGACATTCATGGCAATGTCATAATCTGAGAACAGTAAAATACACAGATTTAATCATTTGAATAAAAATTTTCTTGGATATTATCCATCGTCTAGTAAATAAAATATAAAACGTTGTCAGTGGAACCAAGGTTCCGGAGAATTTGACGTAAATACGTCTATACCGAAAGGAAGTTTATATATTGGCTTTATTCTAAATATTTCCTTTATACATGC